TAACAAAGTTTGCAGACATGATGTTTTCATTTCTTTTAGATTAAAATCTGCCAGTGGAATTGCACTTGGCTAGGTATACACTTGGCTTTCTGACAGGCCTGCCTGGCTGTCTTCCAAGGTGGCAGGCACATTTAATACTTTCACCAACTATAAGAATCTTAATTCCTTTGCCAACATTTAGCCTTGTTGGGCACAGATGGGTTTCTAACTCTCTCATTGTAGTTTTTTTTTTTTTTTGTTTTTTGTTTTTTGTTTTTTGTTTTTTGTTTTTTGTGTTTTGAGACAGGGTTTCTCTGATTGTCCTGGAACTCACTTTGTAGACCAGGCTGGCCTCAAACTCACAGAGATCCACCTGCCTCTGCCTCTGCCTCCTGAGTGCTGGGACTAAAGGCATGTGTCACTACCGCCCAGCCCCATTGAAGCTTATTTCTTATTTATGTTTTATAAAGAATCTTTTGCCTGTTTATTTAAATTGTTTCTCACTGAAACAGAATTGTAGGAGTCTTTTTTCCCCCCCCTCAAGACAGGAGTTCTCTGTATTGCTTTGGACATTGTCCTGGTACTCACTCTGTAGACCAGGTCTGCCTCTGCCTCCCGAATGCTGGGATTAAATGTGTGAGTCATCAAGGCCCAGCAGAATTGTAGGAGTCTTGCATTGAAATTTTGTCTTAAAGGGTTTGGTTTTTGTTTTAGTTTATTTTTAGTGTTTGGTGTTGAACTCAGGGATGTGTGTACACTAGGCGAAACTCTTACCACTAGACTACATCTTAGCCCTCTACATTAAAATTTCACAACTCAATTATCAAAAGAGCAAGAAAGGGAAGGTTTATAGTGTATAGTAATTCAAATGAAAAGGGCCTGAAGTTGTGAGTTCATCAAATAGCTTAGTACCAGCTTTATGTACTGAGTACTAGTACTGGGCATAATGAGATGATACTTAGTGCTAGTTTGGAGGAGCCCACAATTAAATGAAAGGGCAGGAAAAGACAGAATTCTGCTGTTGTAATTTTCAGCATTAATGCAGTTACTGAATATTTACCGTGTCTATTATAAGTATATATCAGAGATACTGGCAAAGAAGACAGAGTTCCTGCTCTTACAGAACTTTCTGTCCAAGAGAGAAACTTACAGTACAAAGGCTCTGAGATGGAGAATGGAATTGACACTGGATGGTTAAGAAAGGACATCCTTGTGGGAACACATTTGGGTGGCTGGGTGACTATTTAGAAATGGGTTAAGTCCCTGTGTGGGTTCCAGGGATCAAACTCAGGTGTAGTGGCAAGCACCTTTACCCATTAAGCCATAATGCCAGCCACAGAATGCTGGTGTTTTGTGTTGTTTTGTTTTTAATTTTGTGTACTTGTGCTTGTCTCTGTGTGGGTTGTGCATGTGATTGGCAGTGCCTGTGGATGCCAGAAGAGGGCATTGAATTCCTTGGAACTGGAGTTACAGGTGCCTGTGTTTAGGCTGCCTGATGTGGTGCTGGGAACTGAACTCTGGTCCTCTGGAAACACAAAGGGCTCTTACTCCTGAGCCATCTCTCCTGCTTTCAATCTTAGGGTTTTATATTGAGTGAGTTTATGTCGAATGCATTGGGAAGCTATCCCAGAGTTTTAAACAGGGAAATGATATGATCTGGTTTTCATTTAGCTAGTAAACAAAAAAATGGCTGTGAGGTTGCAAAAAGGCCGATAAGGAAACCACTACAGTTATCCAAAGACAACAAAATCCTACTGGACGAGAATTCATAAGGAGAGTCCCATCAGACCAGAGCTGTGGATGACAAGATGTTGGTTATATAGGTTCTCACGTTCTGTCTCTTAATGGTAGGAGCTAAGAAAAGTGGCTGACTAAGAAAGGCCTAGCAATTTCTGTAGAAATTCTGCCTCAAGTATAGAACAGAATAGTTTGCTAGAGTGTTTGCTGTTGATGGTCGTTGGACAGTTACACAGGTTTTTTTGTTGTTGTTGAGACTGAAAGTTGGCTAGGTGAGAGTCAGTGCCAAGGAGGGGAAACCTGGGAGGGTAAGAAATGGATGGTGTGAAGGTTCTTGAACTGGAATAAAAGTATAGGGCTTAGAATAATTGATACTTGATACTTATAGTGTGTATTGGTGTTGGGCAGGAAGCTAATGAGGACCTTCAATGTATAATATCAAAATCTATTTGGAAGTGTATAGATATATGCCTATAATCCCAGCACTCACAGGGAAAGGTCGGAAGATCTAGAATTTCAGGTTACCCTCATCTGCAGAGTCCACTGGAAGCCAGCCTGGGTTATATGAGACCCTGTGCCAGAATATAAACGGGGTGGTGTACATGCTTCTTCTGTTCCCTATGTATATCACTGTATGGGAGTATTGAGAGCTATGGAATGCACACTTGTCTGATAAACATGTTTAAAACTGGGTTATACTCTTGCTGACTTTACAGTCTCGTGCTTTCAAATAACACAGACACTTGGTTCTCTCTGGTTGATGTGCATTCAGCATTCTTGTGTTTGGTAGTGAGCACAACGCCACCTAGCTGGTGTACCTGTGAACTACCTTGGGTTCGGGGTCCTTTGTTAAAACAATAGTGAAATGAGTAACAAACACTGCTTCAGGACATGAGCTGACAGCATAGGCTGTGGTCTGTTGAGCCTCTAGGGAAGGTTGGAAGTTTGCAGGCCTCTTGTAGGAGCAGCCTTAGAACACAGGACCTGCCAATCGTGTGGTTGGGGTTATCATCTGCTTCTAGACCTTGATATGTTGTGGCTAAGTGGAATATGGAGCCTGGGGAAGCAGGAGGCCTCCTGGGTGGGAGTGAGAATACACACACGTGGTTTAGTTTGGCTACAAACTTTTGGATCAAGAGTAGTGGATTTTCATCAATGTGGGTACTGTATTCTGGGTAGGAGACTAGAGCTGGGATATAGTTTAGTGACAGATACTTGCCTGGCATGCACACGGCCCTAGTCAATTCCCAATACCACAAAACAACAAACAGGAGACTTACAGACCAACATGAGATGATGCAGCCTGGGAGGAGAAGGAGGCTGAAGATACCCCAGGCAGTACTGCTAGGTAGGAAGCTGGGCTGCTGAGGCAAGTTCAGTGAGTAATCTTGTACACTTGATGTAGATGGTGCTTGTGGCCTATGGATCATCATGGGCTGTAGGTGGAATTACATTGTATTCACTATGGTGATTCATGCAATGATAATGATTGTGGTGGAGGAAAAAGGTGTATTGGAGAGGTTTGGGGCTGCTTGATTTGGAGACAAATCAGTTGGAGAGCTGGTCCTGGAGATGACCTTTTAGATTCATGCAACAAGCGTATCAAGGTGCTGGGATAGAGCAGTGCACAGATAAATCCTCCTTTGTACAGTTTACATTCTAGTGCTAGAGAGTGATTATATAAATTTGTGTAGTAAGCTGGATGCTGGTGTAAAGGCAGTAATGGAGTCTGATGTGTCAGTGTTGGTAGTGTTGAGATTTAGGGTGGCAGGCAAGACTACCTACATTAAGAAATGTGATGAAGAGTAAGAACCTTGCAGGAGAGGGAACCGTCATGTGGGTGATAGACAATGAGCAGCCTGTGGCTGCGGGGCTTTGGAATAGGAATCCAGTGGTCCTGAGGAATGACAGGCCAGAATGAGTGAGTGAGAGAACTGGCAGATTTGGTAGAGGGACCTAGATCTTTCAAATCATACATCAGACCAGTGTGCGGCTTGTGTATGTTCTATGGGTAATGCTTCAGAGAGTGACGCCAGGGAGGACTTTGTTTTTATTTTTATTTTAAATGTATATGTGTCCATGAACTTAATGTATGAGCCAGAGGCATTGGATCCCCCTGGAGCTGGAGTTGTAGGCAGGTGTGAGCCACTCAACATGGGTGCTGGGAACTGAACTCAAGTCCTCTGTAAGAGCAAATATTCTCTTAACTGCCGAGCCACTTCTCAAGCCCTGTTGCTTGCTTTTGTTGTTGTTGTCAGAGACAGGGTTTCTCTATAGCTTTGGAGCCTGTTCTGGAACTAGCTCTGCAGACCAGGCTGGCCTCGAACTCACAGAGGTCCACCTGCCTCTGCCTCCCAACTGCTGGGACTAAAGGCATGTGCCACCACTGCCAGGCTTTTGCTTGCTTTTGAGTCAGGATCTCACGTAGCCTAGGCTGGCTTCATACTCACTGTGTAACTCAGGCTGGCCTTGAACTCTTCTTACTCCTTCTGTTTGGCCTCCCAGGGATAGATTACAGTGTGAGCCACAACCTTGTGGGGTTTTGTCTGTCTGGTTTTTGAGACAGGGTTTCGCTTTCTATCCATGGAACTCTATATGTTATCTAAGGTGGCCCTTGCACTTACAGCAGTCCTGCTTCTGCTTCCTGTGTGCTGTGATTGGCTGTTTTTCCAGATAAATTTGGTTGCTATGTTGACAGTCTATGGGGGTGGAGATGGGAAGTGGGAGTAGGGATTGCACAGGCTAAGAAAGCAGCTGAAGAGGCTACTTCTAGGCAGCGTAAATAGTGGCTTAGACTGGATCATGACATGGAAATGTTGAGCAGACTTGAGCAGCTGATTAGAGATTAGAAGAGTCAATGGGTGGGATGGAGCCCAACTTGCAAGATGTCAGATCCCCAGAGTTGGAGGGGTTCGTTATCAGCAGAAGCTTCTGGGGAGCAGTATCTAGATAATGGCTCCACTGGAGACTGTTGGGATTGAAATATAGCCTAGGCCTGACCTTGGGGCAGGTGCTAAGAGGTCAGAGTGAGATCAATTACGCTCTGTAGTGGTTATCAAGTCCCAGGTCTGGACAGTATTCTTGATATTATAGCCACTTAGAGTAAGGGTTAATTTGGAGCCAGAGTTTGTTATCACAACTGTATCCTGTGCTATTGAGTTCACTGAGGGCTCATGGGTGTGGAGGCTGCCTGTGTGAAGCCTGCTACTTTCCCAGGCTGGGGGCTATAGTCAGTGAAAGATGGAGGAGAGGCCCTGATGCTTGACCCAGCTCTTTCCCTCCAGATGGCCCACTGTGTGACCTTGGTTCAGCTGTCTGTTTCCTGTGACCATCTCATTGACAAGGACATCGGCTCCAAATCTGACCCACTCTGTGTCCTTTTGCAGGATGTAGGAGGGGGCACCTGGGCTGAGGTGAGATGGACCTTCAAGGTTAAGGTCATTGAGGGAGGGTAGGATTATGTTTTGGTGTGATGCTTATCGGCCTCTTCCTACAGCTTTGCCGGACGGAGCGAGTTCGGAACTGCTCAAGCCCTGCGTTCTCCAAGACTCTGCAGGTGGAGTACCACTTTGAGACTGTCCAGAAGCTGCGCTTTGGAGTCTATGACATAGACAACAAGACACCAGAGCTGGGGGACGATGACTTCCTAGGGGGAGCAGAGTGCTCCCTAGGTCAGGTATGTAGGGTCAGGGGTTAAGAAGCTGGGATGTGCCAGCCACACAGGAGCTAACCCCGTCTGAGGTACTGAAGCCTCTCTCACATCATTTTCCCCCAGATTGTGTCCAGCCACACTTTGACTCTACCCTTGATGTTGAAGCCGGGGAAGCCTGCCGGGCAGGGAACCATTACTGTAAGAAATAAACCCTGGGTGGGGAAGCAGTTTATGTAATGAAGAATTCATGAGGTGATGTAGTCCTCTCTTCCTAGGTTTCAGCCCAGGAGTTAAAGGACAGTCGTGTAGTGACCATGGAGGTGGAAGCTAGAAACTTGGATAAGAAGGTGTGTCTGGAAGGCGGCCCTGGGGACCTAAGAATTAAGGGGACAGAGGGCTGAGACACTGCCTGTCTTCTGTCTTGTAACGAGTCTCTTTGGCATCGGCAGGACTTCCTGGGAAAATCTGACCCGTTCTTGGAGTTCTTCCGTCAAGGTGATGGGAAGTGGCACCTGATTTACCGGTCTGAGGTGTGACTCCTGCTGTTGATGGGTTGACAGGGAGGGAATCTTCAGGGTGTGTGATTGACACGTTTGGGAACTGAGGGAGAAAAACTGGGTAGGAGAAGGCGGGGGCTCTTCATAGGTCAGCTCCGAACTCACTACCCTCCACTCCAGGTAATCAAGAACAACCTGAACCCTACATGGAAACGCTTCTCGGTTTCTCTTCAGCATTTCTGTGGTGGGGACCCTGGCACACCCATCCAGGTGAGGAACAGATCCTGGGAAGGGACTTCTTGCCCACCCTGTGTCTCTGTTATACGAATACACACCCTCCCTCAGGTGCGCTGCTCGGACTATGACAGTGATGGCTCACATGATCTCATTGGTACCTTCCACACCACGTTGGCCCAGCTTCAAGCAGTTCCGGTACGTGTTGCCAGTGCTCCGGTGGGCCGTGACAGCAGCTTCCCAGAGGAAAGTCTGGCGAGAGCAGCTTAGGTCCTTAGCTGATGCTGTGGCGGTTTCCCGCCCTACTTTGTCTCTCCACCAGGCTGAATTTGAATGTATCCATCCCGAGAAGCAGCAGAAAAAGAAAAGCTACAAGAACTCTGGAATTGTCCGCGTCAAAACTTGCCAGGTAAGATGGTAGCCCATGTGACCCAGGCTGAGTTCTGAGCTTTGGACTCCATGGTGCTAGCCCGTTATGAGCCATGACCTGACCCTGGTTTCATCTGCAGGTAGAAACAGAGTATTCCTTCCTGGACTATGTGATGGGAGGCTGCCAAATCAACTTTACTGTAAGTTGCCATCCTAGGGGCAAGTGATCAGGTCTTAAGGCTAAGGTAGCCCTTACCTCCATTCTTGCTCTCTTGGTCTCTTCCCAGGTGGGTGTAGACTTCACTGGCTCCAATGGAGACCCATCCTCCCCTGACTCCCTGCACTATCTGAGCCCTTCAGGAGTCAATGAGTATCTGACAGCACTGTGGAGTGTGGGCAGCGTGGTTCAAGACTATGACTCGTGAGTTTCAGGTTCTGGCCGCTCCCATGCCCTGTTCACGTTTCCACCTCTAGACTCAGGAACCCCTCATTGCTTCTCCACAGAGACAAGCTGTTTCCAGCATTTGGATTTGGGGCCCAGGTACCCCCCAACTGGCAGGTAAGCTTTCTTCTTCCTTCTCTCTATGCTAGGTTTTAGTATCAAGATCCTAATTCCAGAGTCTGCTGTAAGTTTGTTTATCACTTGGCATCTAGCTACAAGGAGACATAACGAGCTCTGTAGTAGTAGACCGGCATACAGCAAGTGCAAGACCAGGTAGTTCCGGCGGGAGCCCTGGCCTTTATCAGAGAGCCCTTGCTTTGATTTTTGTAGTTTTGAGGCTTGAACCCAGGGCCTTAAATATGCTAGACATGTACTCTGCTGACTGCACTTGAGCCCCTCAAGAATGTCATATTTCTTGGCACAGAAAGGGCTGGTGGGTACCTGGAGAGATGGCTTAGCTGTTGAACCCTTCATAAGATGATTAGCTACCTGTAGCTCAGCTCCAAAGGGAACCCAGTGCATTCTTCTGTTCACCAGGCATGCTGGTGCACAACTTTAATCCCAGCACTGGGGAGGCAGAGGCAGGTGGATCTCTGTGAGTTTGAGGCCAGCCTGTCTATGTAATGAGTTCCAGGACAGCCAAGGCTACACCACATAACCCTGTTGGAAATAAAATAAAAAAAAAAAAAAAAAATTAAAATCTTTGCTGAGTGTTATGGATCAGCACTTTTATCCCAGCATTTGGGAGGCAGTGGCAAGTGCATCTCTCTGAGTTCAAGACCAGCCTGGTTTACATAGATCCTGTTTGGAGGGTAAAAAGTGGTGTGTGTGTGTGTGCTCAGGAGGCAAAAAAAAAAAAAGGAGGTGAAGGAGGGAAGGAAGATTGTTCTCTCTTTCCCTCCTCTCTCTTTTGACTTTTTGTTTGGTTTTTGTTCAGACCGGCCCAAGTGTACAGAGACCCTAATGTCCCTCTGAGCTGGGTTAAACGAATGAACTCTTATACCCAGCACTTTTTCCCCCCATTTTTTCTTTTTGAAATTGGTCTCACTGTATAACGCAGGCTAGATGTAAACTTGAAATCTTCTAGTCTTAGTCTCCTGTGTGCTGATATTGGAGGTAACTCACACCTGGCTGAGTCATTTTTCATTCCTGCCCTCAGGTCTCACATGAATTTGCCTTGAACTTCAATCCCAGTAATCCCTATTGTGCAGGTAATTCTGCTTTCTCCAGTGTGATCCAGACTTCTGAGTGTGCGTTCATGGTAGAGAAGACTGGGAGGGAGAAGCCTGCCTCTTTGTACAGAGGAGTGGCGATTAGAGCTAGCCCATTGGGGTTAAGTTCATCTTATTACTCATGGCCTTGGACAAGTTGCTTATTCTTTGTACTTTGGTTTTAAAATAAAACTAAAGTTAACTGGGGCTGGGACGAGAGAAAATCAAAAGTTCAAGGCCTGCCTGGGCAACTTGGTCTCAAATGAAAACATGGAAAAGGACTGGGTGGCCCAGCAGTGACTGCTGTGTTAAGGATCCTGGAACTTGCTCTTGTAGACCAGACTGGTCTCGGACTCACAGAGATCCTCCTGCCTCTGCCACTCGAGTGCTGGGATTAAAGTCATGTACCACCACCGCCCGGCCGTAATCTAGGTTTCAATGCAAGTCCTGTCTTCTTTGCCCTTTAATTTCATTTGTTGGCTAGAGCTGTGTCCTGAGTAACAAAGATGAAATATTTTCAGGTTTCCAAATCTTCTGGGTCTAGATGAACAGATTTCAGGTATGACTTAATCTAAGCTCTACAACTTTACAGAATTTTCTGTTCTTTGTAGGTATCCAGGGTATTGTAGATGCCTACCGTCAAGCACTGCCCCAAGTTCGCCTCTATGGCCCTACCAACTTTGCACCCATCATCAACCATGTGGCTAGATTTGCAGCCCAGGCTGCACAGCAGAGGACTGCTTCGGTAAGAGCTGTGGATAACTGGTGCTGAGGTGTCAAGCACTGTGTAATGAGGACTGTCTCGTTAGTGGGAATGTGTACCTGGTTTGTTGAGAGGGGTTGGGAAAGAGGATTTTCCTCAGTATATGCACTTGTCTCTAGCAATACTTCGTACTGTTGCTTTTGACTGACGGCGCTGTGACAGACGTCGAGGCTACATGTGAGGCTGTGGTGCAAGCCTCAAAGCTGCCCATGTCTGTGATCATTGTGGGCGTGGGCGGTGCTGACTTCGAGGTCATGGAACAGCTGGATGCTGATGGTGGCCCTCTTCGTACGCGCTATGGAGAAGCAGCTTCCCGGGACATAGTGCAGTTTGTGCCCTATCGACGATTTCAGAATGTGAGTAGGGGAAGAGTTTGCAGAGTGATGGGGGTGGGGTTGAGGTCCAGTAGAAAAAGCCTTTTCATCAAAGCCTGACAAGGTTGAATTTTAGGTAAGATGTAGACCCTGGGAGACTCACGGCCCTCACTGACCTTGCCTTTCTTCTGACAGGCTCCACGGGAAGCACTGGCACAGACTGTTCTTGCAGAAGTGCCCACTCAGCTGGTTTCCTACTTCAGAGCCCAAGGCTGGGCCCCATTGAAGGCACCTCCAGCTCCAGCCAAGGTCCCTGCACAGCCCCCCCAGGCATAGGTTCCCTTGGAGAGTAGGCTGTGATCAGTCTATTTCAGCCGGCACCATTCTCCAGACTGTGGACCAACCCTGCACATTCTTCCCACTTTATAGTTTACTTTGATACTTGCTTTTGCTATTGCTGCTCTTGACCTATCTACCTGTTCCTGACATCCCATTCAGGAAAGACCTGTATAAAGGTCATCTCTTTCTTGAGTTACAGGCTGCTATAGATAGCCTTACTTTGACCTAAGTCTTTGTTGACCCTGGGCTTGTTGAGTGAAAGGTTCCCCTGGTCCAATAATCATATCCAAGCAAATTGGGTCTATTCATTTTGAAAACACAAAGTTTGAATATAAAGTAAGCATGTGGTTATTCCTTCCTCTGGGTGGAGCTGAGCTGGGAACATGGACAAGATGGAAGGTGCTATGCCTCATAAGAGGTGGCAAAATTGAGAGAATGACACATTTCACTGTAGACTGAGACTATTAGATCTCTAGGGCTAGCTGTGTTCCACTGTTTTTTGGGAACATTTGTGTAGCCTAGGCTGGCTTGCAATTTACCATCCTGCCTCAACCTCACGAATGCTGGAATTAGGCTTGTGCTACTGTGCCTGGTTTTCAGTCAGGGCCGTGTCAAGTCTTCATTCTGCTCTTCTTTTCAACATGTTCCAAGTATTTTTCCCTTAGCTGTTACTGTTTCATATGTTTTTATACACATGAAAATTTTATTTTTATATATGCTTATCTGCTTTTTGAAAATGTATTCATATGTCAATGACAATATAAATACCCCCTCAGTGGCTGCATTTGTTTTATGCTTGGTTCTGGGAATTGTGCCTAGGGTCTAAGACATGCCTGAGTCAGGCTCCACCACTTACCTTATCTTTGAGTATACTTGGAGGGCTCTAGAGTTCAAGATTATCTCCCAATACTGTTTGAGGATAGCCTGGGCTACATAAGACACTGTTTCAAAAAACTTAAGAGGGCCTTGTATGATTGCCAACTGCATTAAGTGCTTGCTGTACAAGCTTAACAACCTGAATTCTACTTATAGGATCCATGTAAAGGTGGAAGGAGAAAATTAACTCCACAAAGTTGCCCTCTGACCTCCACACTAACAGTGGTATGCATACTCATCATACATGTATGAAACGTATGAATGAGGTGGTTCATGTCTGCAGTCCTAGCATTGGAGTGCCTGAGGCAGGAGTAGTAATGCCTTGAACTTTATGCTAACCTGGGCTACATAGTGAGTTCTAGGTCAGCCTTAGATGGAGAAAATATATGAAAAGTCTTAAGGGTTTTGATTCCTCTGGCCTCTGTGTATGCATATTGAGAGCTGAAACCAGGGCCATGGGGTCTTACAGACTAGGCAAACTGATGCTCTGTCCACTCTACCACTACCCATCCACCTGCCACTGCCTCTTTCTCCCAAGTGCTGGGAAGTTTTGAAACAGGGCCTATGTAGCACTGACTTTCCTGGCCTCAAACTCATAGAAATGTCCCTACCTCTGCCTCCTGAGTGCTGGAATTAAAAGCATCTGGGCACTGCCATATCCAGCCCTTAGTTCTATTTTTAGCCTTAGTTTTAATTTGTTCCTACTATATTTATTTTGTATGTGTGCGCATGTATCTATCATGGTACACATGGAGGTCAAAAGACAACCTGTGAGATTTGGCTATCTATTGTATGGGTCCCAGAGACTGAACTCAGGTCATAAGACTTGGTGGTGGCAAGCCCCCTTTAACCTACTTGACCTACTTAACCTACTTTAACCTAATTATTTTTATTACTGTTATGTGTGTGTGTGTAAGTGCCACAGCATGTGGCAGGCAGAGGACAACTCTTCTTCCACTATGTGGGACCCAGGGATTAAATTCCAGTTGCCAGGTTTGGTTGCCTTTCCCTGTTGAGACGTCTCACCTGCCCTAACCTTATCTTTTGTTGAATTTTTATGTGTTTGGGTGTTCTGCCTGCTTGAATATACCACTTGTGTGCCTAGTGCCTGAGAAGGCTGGAAGAGGGCATTAGATTCCCTGGAACTGGAGTTACAGGTGGTTGTGAGCTGCCATGTGGGTGCTGGGAATCAAAACTCAGGTCCTCTGGAAGGGCAGCCAGTACTCTTAACAATGAGCCATCTCTCCAGCCCCCAATCCTCAGGTTTGAGAATACTTGGTGTGGGTGCTTTTGTATTCAAATGACAAAATACTATCACCCTAATTTAAATAGGTGGATAAATGATCTGTCTCATGCCATCCTAACATCCAAGATAAATAATGCTTTTCTTTGCTGATGCTAGGCTCTTTTCTACCCTTGGGAACTTTACTTATTTGACTGACTGCCCTTCCCATTCCCACCCCCAGTTCTTTTCACCAGTGAAGATTCTTAGATCTGATGGACATCAGATGACCTCCTAAGGTCCTAGTAATGACCAACTGCATGAGCGCTACCAAGGCTAGGTCAGCTTTGACTCAAAGGTTTCCTAGAAGTTCCCAGATCTTAGCTTCCCACTGTTTGCCAGAAGAGATTTTCCTCTCTATCTGTAAAGGATGTTTTCTGGAGTTGAGGGTAGGGATTTGAGCACAAGTATGGCTTCAGCTGCCTGCTATTTCTCCAGGTGAGGAGGGTTGTCTCTTGTGTTACTTTTCACTGGTATGATTGGAGCAAGTTGGCTTGCCTGAGCAGTTTCCTTCTTTGTACTGAGGATCAAGCTGCATCGTGTACACAGCAGTGTCTCTTGCATATGGTAGACTGTAAGCATCAACTTTTGCTACTATATGACTCTGGACTTTTCCAGGAAAAGAGAATATGTCGAGGGGCACATTCTGCATACTGACTTGTCATAGGCAGCCGGGGCTTTCACCAAAAGGTGACCTCCCAACTCCTATGCAGTTTTCTCTAGCACAAATTTCAATTCTGCTCCAACCATCAGCATTTTTAATGGGGTCCCCCAGCAACCCCTGTGGCATTGTCTTCTGCCCCCTCTGAGATCCGCACACCATGGGCACGGACTCGATATAAGCACGTGAAACGTGGATGGCCCCAGTTGCTTAGAATCTGAATCTTCACCTTGGGGAAGGCTGATGGCGGGTCATTCTGGGGAGACAAATGGGTCATGCCAACAACTGCTCTCAAGACTGTCTTCCCCATCAATATTCACTGCCCCCTCTTAGTACTCCCTCCCCCCCCAGGATAAACACACCTGTAGGTGGAAAGTCTGAATTTCAGACTTCTGCACATCAAAGATGAATTTCCCCAAGAACACTTCAGTCTCATCATCAGCTTGGAGCCCCTGGTGGGTGAAGTGTGGAGGAGCAGTGAGGCACAGAGGAAGGGAGAGAAAACAGCTACATGTGTCCTAGTTTACGTTCTGATGTAGGATGTACAGTGTGGAATGTAGGCTTGAAGAAACCAGTAATAGCCAGGACATCCTAGAACCAGGGATGCTAAGCTTACAGCCTGCAGCAGCCTGTGAGTGTGTCCACCTCATAGACAGATGAACAAACAATGACAAATACTGGCAATGGTTCTCACCACCCAGGGTTTTCTAAAAGCCCCCTGCCTCCTGGCCTCAGCCCCACTTACAAAGACTGCAAAGTCCCGGGGTGCACTGCTGGCTCCTCCAGTGTGTGCCACGGTGGGTGGAGGATGCTGCAGAGTGATGTCGCTTAACTGCACATGGCCTGGCAGTCGGATCACCACCTGGCCTTGATCACCTTCGAAAGCCCAGCAGTTTCCAGGGAACACATCTGGCTGCAGGGGTTTGGGTAGGCCATCAGAACATATGACAAACCCAAGAGCAGATGGTACTGAGAACTGGAGGGCACCCTGAGCTGCGGAGCAAGACCCCGCCCTAGAGCTTCTGCTCAGCCCAGAGCTTCTTCCCTGTTGTTGCCTAGCCAATGTGATCAGTGCTGAGGGCCCAGCACTTACTGTTCCCTGCAGTTTAACTGCACCCTTGGCTTGGCAGGAGCCTTCCCACACCACCCAGACCCTGCCTCCATTGGGGCACCTGATGCCAAACTGACCTCTACTCCAGACCTCACCTGCCCATTGGTACCATCCCCTGCACCCTGGTTTCAGGCCCACCTCCAGTATGACTGAGGGTGGACGTGCATAGTTCCAGAAGCTCAAGCGATTCCAGAAGTAGACAGTGTTGGTGTCCTCGTAGTCACTGGACGTCTTCTCCAGGTCGATGGAGGCTCCTATAACAGGCAGAAGTCACTTTCGGGGGCTCCTAGGCTTTCTCATCAGTGCCATTGTCTATGACCCGGAGTCCGTTTCTGTCCACATATCTGTGTCTTACCCACAGAGCTCAGTGCATAGTCGGGTTTCCTCACAAAGTCCTCATTCAGCCTCTGGAACACAAGCTTGGCCACTCTCTAAAGAGGCAGAGGGTGGACCAGGAGGGTTGTAAGATAATTTACAGTGGGCCAGCCTCTCAGTAAGTCAATACTCAGAGATAAGACCTTAAGGGCCTTGAGAAAAGAGTCCCCACTGTGGGTATGGGGGGTGGTAAAGATTCATCTCAGGACCTAGGCTGTGGTAGTACCAAAGCGCAGCCTTGAGTGAACGGGCATGAGCTCCTACACCCACCCCCACCTCAGTGCAGGGACGCACCTCACTGTGAGCTGCACGAACGCTGGACACCTCCTTGTGGAGTTTATTCAGTTCTGCCTGGAGCTGCTGCAGCTGCTGGCCCTGGGAATGCACACGCTGGTGGTATTGGCTGCAGTGGGGAGGTAGGCACCACGTGGTTAGCTACCTGTTCCTGTGCATGCATTTCTGGGACGAAAGCCCCCAGAGATAGATTTTCAGAGCTACCCAGCTCCCACCCCAGCTGCCCTCTTTCACCTTAGAGTCAGCGTCTCCTTAGGTTCCTGTTGAAGGAGGGACAAATAAGCAACTTCTCCCAAGTCAGCAAGGTGTGGCTAGACTCCCTCTTGAGAATTACTCCCGTTTCCCTTCCATTCTGGATATTATGCTCAACGCTTACCATACAGCCCTCTCCCAGCAGACCAGTGGTGCCCCATCCACACAACCCCCCCCACTCCACCTGGGAACATAGTCTCCCCAACTCACATTCTCCAAAGGGGGGACCAGGTACAGGAGACCCCACCAGAGTGCTGGAGAAAGAGAAAGGGCATCCTCTGGTATAAAGGGACAAGGAGGAAAGCAAGGGGGTTGGGGTGATGGCTGGGGCTGCAGAAGGACTGTGAGACACCAAGCAGGGGTCACTAGAGTGAGCTGAGGAACACAGGGACATGCGAGCTGGATTTGGCTGCAAACTTGTAAAGCTGCCCCCCCCCCCCCCAGGGAATCGAAGCTCCTCACCTGCCAGAAAGACGCTCAGGAGCGACACAGCAGTGAACAGAAAGCGGATGGAGCAGACCTCCCTGAGAAACCAGGACGGAAGCTGATGCTCTGAAGCCCTAACGCACCCTAATCCCGACCGCAGAATCCTAGACCCAGTTCCCCCGGAACGCGACTCAACCAGACTCAAGCCTTGGTGGGGCCCAGCCCTGCTGCCCTTCCCTGAGCCATCCCTGCCCCCTCTTCCTCTGACCTGTACACACTGACCAGCGCGTCTCCTGCCACCGATAACAATACGCTCAGCACCTGAAAGAGGAGGCCTGGGACAGGGACAGGAGAAGTCGCTTAGAGATGGCGAGCCATGGAGGGTGAGGTGGTGCAGGTTCAGGAGGGGAGGCTCGGGAGGGGTCGGGGACGAGATCTGGGGGCTCAGGAGGCGAGGGTGGGCTGGGAAAACGAGCTGAGGCTGGACACTAGGACCCCGGCTC